CCTACAATATGATGGAGGCTAATTTAGCTACAGCAAATCAGGAAAAAGATCTTGGAGTCATCGTGGATAGTTCTCTGAAGACGTCCACGCAGTGTGCAGAGGCAGTCAAAAAAGCAAACAGGATGTTAGGAATCATTAAAAAGGGGATAGAAAATAAGACAGAGAATATATTGTTGCCATTATATAAATCGATGGTACACCCACATCTTGAATACTGTGTACAGATGTGGTCTCCTCATCTCAAAAAAGATATACTGGCACTAGAAAAGGTTCAGAGAAGGGCAACTAAAATGATTAGGGGTTTGGAACGGGTCCCCTATGAGGAGAGATTAAAGAGGCTAGGACTTTTCAGCTTGAAAAAGAGGAGACTAAGGTGGGATATGATAGAGGTATATAAAATTATAAGTGATGTGGAGAAAGTGAGTAAGGAAAAGTTATGTACTTGTTCCCATAATATAAGAACAAGGGGCCACCAAATGAAATTAATGGGCAGCAGGTTTAAAACCAATAAAAGGAAGTTCTTCTTCACACAGTGCACAGTCAACTTGTGGAACTCCTTGCCTGAGGAGGTTGTGAAGGCTAGGACTATAACAGGGTTTAAAAGAGAACTGGATAAATTCATGGAGGTTAAGTCCATTAATGCCTATTAGACAGGATGGGTAAGAAATGGTGTCCCTAGCCTCTGTTTGTCTGAGGGTGGAGATGGATGGCAGGAGAGAGATCACTTGAACATTACCCGTTCACTCCCTCTGGGGCACCTGGCATTGGCCACTGTCCATAGACAGGATACTGGATTGGTTGGATCTTTGGTCTGACCCAGTACAGCCATTCTTATGTTCTTGTTATGTTCTTAGTGCAAATCCTTTTATTTGCAATAATGGTGTTTCCAGGGGAGATCTATTTACATCTGGTAAGACCTGCTTGTCAGTTTAATGGCATAACTTCTCCGCTGACTTTATGTGGAAAAGTGCATGAAAGGAAGTTTGTCTTTGCCTTAGAGATTTACTTTAAAACACTTCATTTCCTCTATTTATCTAGGTCTAAGCCTCAAACACACACAAGTCCTCCCTCAAATATAGGTGAGCCAAGGACATGGAAACATCTCTCTGATCATATCCATGAAGCAGCTACATAAGAAGAAGAAAAATTTGATACAGAAGAATGTCAAGAATTTCTAATCAAGTGGTTCAAATACTCTCTATTTCCCCTCCTGTAGCTATGTAAAGATAGATTTTAAAACTGGCCACTTCTGTCCCAACTGTAAAACCCCTCAGAACCTACCTGCATGCAATGGAAGGAATATAGGCCCTGATTCACCAAAGCATTCAAATCCATGCTTAATTTGAAGCATGTGTGGTCCCATTGATTTCAATGGATCTGTTCACATGCTTCAAGTTAAACATATGCTTAAGAGTTTTGCTGAATTAGGGCCATAATCACGTATCAATCTTGCATTTCAAGGGAAAACATAAAAAGGGGGTAAGCGTTATTTAAGGCACTATATCAAAGAATATTAATGTGACATTAATAAATGGAAGTCTTCAAGCTGGACATTAGGGGGAAATAGTTGAAGAATGAAGTCAGTTAGAAAATTTAGTAACTTGACAAGGGAAGCCACTTGAGTGCCACCAAGACAGGTTTTCAAGAATACACAAGATACACTACAGGTTTAGTGGAGAGAATAATCCTTCACAAGTGCAGATGGTTTGGCTAGCTGACCAATAAACACTATCATTTATTATCCTACTCAGTTAAAAAGAAATCTACATTTGTGATGTTATGGTTTGAGATTTTACAAATGCAAAAGAATGAAATTTTAAAGTTGATGTTTCCACAGCAACCTCAGCTAAGCCACATTATACATATATAGTAAGGTATAAGTGTGACAACATCTCCCATAATACAAAATATTACATACGATAAACACTAGAAGGAAGAGTGACAATTGTTGTGGGCTCTATGATTGAATTTCCTGATTCTTGTGGCTTTTTAAACTCTCAACCACGGCACTATAACAAAGCGGTTTTTTGCACACACATAAAGCAGGAAAAGTAACTGTTAAGGAGGGGAAAAAATTTCAAGTCACATACTGAAATAAACACACATCTCCTAGGTCCCCAGAACTCTGTGGTTCTCCATCTAGTGCCCCTAGCTAGAGGCCTAACCTCCCCCAGCCCCCATGCATCTAGAAATTCCACAGACAAGAAAACTACTCCCATGTCTGTGCCCACATGTGGCACCACATTCATAGATCTTAAGTCTTGGGTTTTCCCCCAAGTCCTTCAGATAAACTAGGGTTACCATACGTCCGGTTTTTCCCGGACATGTCCGGCTTTTCGGCAATCAAACCCCCATCCGGGGGGAATCACCAAAAAGCAGAACATGTCCGGGAAAAATATCGGCCGGGCACTTCCTCTCCCGCAGCTGCTCTGCTCCTTCCCTGACTCAGACTTCGGCTCTGCTTAAGAGCCAAGCTGCCCGAGCCAGCGCTACGGGCTTCAGGCAGCCCCCATGCCTCCCGGACCCTGCGCCACCGGAGCAGAGCAGCTGGAGCCCGGGAAGGGAAGTGCCCAGCCGGCGGCTGGGGTCTGGAGGCACGGGGACTGCCCAAAGCCCGTAGCGCTGGCTCGGACAGCTTGGCTCTTAAGCAGAGCCGAAGTCTGAGTTAGGGGAGGAGCAGAGCAGCTGGAGCAGGGGAGGAGAAGTGCCCGGCCGGCGGCTCAGGGTCTGGAGGCATGGGGGCTGCGCAAAGCCGGAGCGCTCGGGGCAGCTCGGCTCTTAAACAGAACCAAAGAGTCAGGGGAGGAGCACAGCAGCTGGAGCCCGGGAGTGGAATTGCCCGGCCGGGGGCGCAGGGTCCGGAGGCATGGGGGCTGCCCGAAGCCCTAGTGCTACCAGCTTCACTGGTTTGCTGGGCAGCCTCCAGACCCTGCGCCCCGGCTGGGCGCTTCCCCTCCCGGGCTCCAGCTGCGCTGGGGAAGCGCCGGCCGGTGGCGCAGGGTCTGGGGGCTGCCCGGCAAACCGTGAAGCCGGTAGCACTTGGGCAGCCCTTTTCGCGTGGCTGGGAGGGAGGAGTGGGAGTTAGTGTGGGGACTTTGGGGAATGGGTGGGGAATGGGCGGAGTTGGGGCGGGGGCGGGGGTGGGAAAGGGGCGGGGCCAGGGCCCCGTGAAGTGTCCTCTTTTTTTATTTTTTAAATATGGTAACCCTAGATAAACCAGTTAAACAACAGATCCTTGGAACCCTGTGGACACGGGAGCTTATTACTGCTTCAATTCTATGGCATTAGGAGATAGGAGTTTTGGTCCATTGTGTTCCCAGCTTATTTTTCTTGGAGAAGTAAAGTTAGGCCTTTGTTGTAGATATATATCATTTGCTAGTTTCCCCATCTACCAAGAATTTAACAAGAAGGGTAAAGAAACTCATCACCCACCAAATAGAGAGAGAATCCCGCAGGCAAACCAAACGATTAAGGAGACACCCACGTTGCCGGAATTTTTCAACACCCCTTTTGGAGAGATAAAGATGCCACTGCCCACCATGCTGCCAATAAGGAGTGAAAAAGCCCTCAGCAAAGTGATCTTTTTCCTTAGAAAAACAGCCTCCTCTTCTTTCTTGGCTTTTCCCATGGCCTCTACAATTTCAGGGCAGGGGTGGGCATTCAGAAGTTAAGGTTTCCTTGTGGGTCCGTCCCAATCCCACAGTCAACAGAGCTCACCTGTGATAGGGGAAAAGAAAGTCAGGGATTTGCGGAGCTTCTTTGGGGAATGACTGTTAAAGCCATTTTACCAATAACCCATCAAAATCTGCTGGATCTACTCTCCTCACCCATTGGATATCACTGGGCAAAGAAACCCCAGGTGCATAAAACATGCTACACAACCATGCGATCTCTTATGTCAGAACTCCTCTGGGTATCAGGGTTTGCTAATTAACTTTTGCTCCTCCTGCTGCAGCAGAGCATAACACACTGTAGGCTGTACATAAACAGCCCTTTAGGCCAAGATTTTCAAAAGTGATCAGTGATTTGGGGTGCCACTATAGTTCAGTGTCCAACTTGAGTCCCCCTCCAGGGACCCAATTTTCATAAATGGCTAAACACCCACACTCTGAAAATCAGGCCCCTTTACGATGCTTCGAGTTGGGCACCTATAAATTTAGGCCGAGCCAAATCACTAGTCACTTTTGAAATTTTTGGCCTTAAAAATGTTTTTTCTTTGGCAACAGCAGAGCAAAGAATTTAGTTTAATAGACATTTTGTATAAACATATCCAGGGCATCTGTTCTTGAGCCAAAATTGGCTGCTGAGTCTTTAAAACAGTGGTGGGCCACCTGCGGCCCATCAGGGTAATCCGCTGGCGGTCCGCAAGACAGTTTGTTTATATTTGCACAGCCACCCGCAGCTCCCACTGGTCGTGCTTCGCCGTTACCGGTCAATGGGAGCTGCGGGAAGCAGCAGCCAGCATGTCTCTGCGGTTTGCGCCGCTTCCCACAGCTCCCATTGGCCAGGAATGGTGAACGGCAGCCACTGGGAGCTGCGGGTGGCCATGCAAATGTAAACAAACTGTCTGGCAGCCTGCCAGCAGATTATCCTGATGGGCCACATGCGGCCCATGGGCCGCAGGTTGCCCACCACGGCTTTAAAAAGTCAAAATAAGCTCTTTGGGGCCCTGATGTGCCAGATTATCTGCTACCGCTCATCAGGGCAGGGAGTAACTTTATGAGTCTCCTAAGGCTCAGACAGGTTGCTGGAACTGATGAATCTAAGGGTTGAGGGGTGGGGAGTAACAACCACCAATGCTCCTGAGCTGTGAATTGCAACATACAACTGATGTTACAAGTGGACGGTCTTACTCGGTATCTAGCTAATTTGCGTGAAACAGCTACAGTCTGGTACGTCAGTAGCGTAGCTAGCGGGGTGCAGGGGAAGCGGCCGCTTCCCCCGCCTTTCCAAAAGCGGCCGGAGGAGCAAGGGGGGTGCAGGCTGGCGGCCTGCAGCATGGCCGGCAGCCATGCGGGGGGTGGCGGGCACGACCGGAGGAGTGGGGCAGCCGCGGCCGGAGGAGCGGGGCCTGGGGGGGGGCGCGTGCTGGTGGGTCGCAGCACGTCCCGGCGGCCGCGGCTGGAGGAGCAGGGGGCGGGGCGCAGCCTGGTGACCCGCAGCATGGCCGGCAGCCATGGTGGGGCGGTGGGCACGGCCGGAGGAGCGGGAGGGGGCACAGCATGGTGGCCGGCAGCTGCGGCCAGAGGAGCGAAGGGGGGGCCACGGGGTGGCACGGCAGGGCCGGAGAAGGAGCCAAGGGGGGGGCACCTTTTTTATATTTGCTCCCCCTCCTCTTAGAAGCTGGCTATGCCACTGTGGTACGTGTCATATCTCTGAAAGTAGAGCTACAAAGCATGTGGGTCCAATATTCAAATGTAGGATTGGTTAAAGATTTATAGACTCAATCTAAATGAAGGAGTTCTTTTGAGCACAAATATTATTGCTAAAACTTAAAAAATGCACTTATCTGGTTGGTTGATTTTGAACAAAGCAGAGAGAGGTTTACAATCTGTCCCAGACGGTCATCCCTTGCTGGAGTCTCAGAGCAGTTTGATGTACAGTAACCAGTAGCTTCTTTTAGTTGGCTGTGAAATTCCATAGTAAAAATAAAAGAAACAGGATGTAAAACCAAATTTATAGACCAAGTTAAGGATTTGAAGTAACTCTTGATGTTTAGCCACATGGTCTGAGACACCAATGCCAGCCAGGAATATCTGGAAACATAATGGACAAACACCACAGATTTCAGGAATGTGAAATCAACTGGGATTTGTTCTACAGGCTATTGTGGGGGGGGGGTGAGCGGGGAAGAATAGGGTGATCAGACAGCAAGTGTGAAAAATCGGGATGGGGTGGAGGGTAATAGGAGCCTATATAAGAAAAAGACCCAAAAATTGGGATTGTCCCTATAAAATCGGGACATCTGGTCACCCTAGGGGAGAAACAGAGAGCTATTGCATACCACATCAGACTCCTAGCAATGAGCAGAACAAATTGTTCCAGCTCAGCTTTCTAGTTGAATTCCTGCGCCTGACATTAAAATACAGCTATGTTAATCCTTGTGGCAATGCTTAATGTGCACTTTAGTATTAAAAAAATGTACAAAGCTGCTTTTTGTTCACCTTTTTAGTTGACTACTGGCTCAAATCCTTCTCACTCCTACATAAAGTACCTTTGCATCTACCAACAGCACTGCTTAAAATTACAGCCCCTCAGGTTGCACTTCAAACCAGTGTTTCAAGCAATTTTTACCAACATTTCAAAACAGAATAAAGCACTACTCATCTTACCTAGCAGGACCCGAAGCCTGGCATAGGGAGGAGATGGAGAAAAAGCCAACCTTGAGTAAAGGGGGAAACTTTGTATTACCATAGTGCCCCTCGAGGCCCAAGCTGAGATGGGGACCTCATTGTGCTAGAGTCTACACACACACACACACACATACACACACACACACAGTAAGAGACCATTCCTGTCCTGAAGGGCTTGCAGTCTAACCAGGCAAGACAGATCCAGGGAGTATCTCCATTTTATTGCTGGGGACCTGATGCAAAGACCAACTAGCCTAACACCACACAGGAAATGTGTGGCACAGCTGAAACTGAACCTAGATCTTTTGAGTCCCAGTCCAGTGTCTTAACCTCCAGACTGTCTTTCCTCCTCTCTACCACAAACTGTATAAATATGTATCCAATTATGTCCACAAACCTGATAGTTTCTGAGGACTATTCCTAACTACTTCCACCTATATTTTCTTTGTACAGACCTCAATTAAAATGACACCACCAAGAACTTTTTAACTACGTCCCCTTCCTTTTCATACAATAAAAGATGTAGTCACTGAGCTGTGATAACCAGACCTGCTTCTTCCTTTTTTCTGCCACAAATCATCACTCTGTTTCAATGCCCATTAGAAGATGCTGGGTCCAACTAAAAACCAGCTGTGAATATCAGAGGGGTAGCCATGTTAGTCTGGATCTGTAAAAAGCAACAAAGAGTCC